TAAGAGTTTTTTTGGAATGAGTAACAGAGAGCTGTTTAATGAAGCAGTGTGTCTTTTCACTGCTGTGCCAGGAAGAGGAGAAATGGTGTGGTACAAAATCCCAATTAGTTCCACTGATAATGAGATCATGTGTGAACTACTATGACTGAGAACAAACTGTTCCATGCTCCGACAACAGATTGTAGCACACACAGCTTTCACTTTGATCTGGCCTCTCTGAACAAACAAGGATGCAGGAGTTCAGTTACTAATTGGATTATTAAAACATGTTGTACAAACAAGATGTTATTTAAAACAAGCCTAGATGAACTTTCATATACAGTTTTTGTAGAGGGTCCAATTTGCATGTGACAGAGACATTCACAAAGGGAAGCAAAGGGAATATTTGTATTTGCTTTCAAAGTTGAATCCAATTCATGGGCAGTGAATAAAAGAGTGAATAGATGTGCAGGTTTTAGTCTTCTAACATCCAGCCTATAAGTTCACTCTGTCTACATTGACTACTTTCTCTCAGTTAGACATATTTGCTAACAAATAAACAGTCACCTGCACTTGACAGCAATTTTCTCTAAAAACGCTTTGAGATGCTGCAACTGAATGGATATGTACCAAATGCAACAATTATTTATTTTATTATGCGCATTGCTCCTCTGAACTTTCTTCTCTTGTTCATGTGGCAGATGTATCATTGTGTTCAATTCAAAACGTAACACACCATCTCTCATTCCTTGTTTCTTAAATCTAATGGAATTCATTGTCTTCCTCAGTTTCTTTCAGAGAACATAATCTCGAAATTATTGATAAAATATGTGGTGCCATTTACTGGTGACACCAGTTCCTAAATTGCCTTCAAACCTCAAGAGAGAAGTTTTCCCATTTCCATCTAATTTTGTTTGAAATTACGTTTGTGCAGTCAGTTTCTTTCAACAATCTAGTGATTTATCTCTCTTGTTTTGCGCTGTTATTGATTTTGCCCTGGAGCTTCAGTGATATTCTACAAACTGTGGACACTTCCATTATAGTTGTTGGAGTTTTGGGAGAAGTGTTGGAACAGCTCCCAGAGGATATCTAATTCTCTACCCCACAACCTAGATTTTTACAACACAATTTAATCGTCACTATTTTATTTTGTTTGTGTGTCTTTCCACCTCCAATTTTCTGCTTGAAAGACATTGACTCTCAGTAGGGATAATTACCATAGAGATGGACACCCTCTGCTACCTTGCCCAAGTCTCCATTCTACTGTGAGCCTACAGTAGAGTGCTATTCCACTATGGAGGACATCACATGATCCTGACCCCGTCTTACCAACCTCCACGTTATATTTTGTGTCACGGTATCAAAATCGGGACTAGGAACCCTGGTTGACCTCTTGTTGAAGAATTGAGTTGACTGGTGGCTGAGTTGGAGGGGAGGCATTGTAACTTTCCCACATTCCTCATGAGTTACGGCAATCTAAACCTTTTCCTATTTCCATGCCTCTATTAACAAGAATCAGTGGGAGTCTGAGTCTGTTGCTGGAAGTTGGGAATTCACTAGATTTTGTAAGAGTTATGCCCTACACTTCAGGCAGGTCACTTCCTGGTTTAGAAGCAGTGGTTGTAAAGCATTTTATTACAGTTCTCTTGTACAGTGATCTTTCAAAGAGACATATTGATGCAAGACACATGACTTCATGTTGCATTACTGGCTGTACTAACGGGTTAGATGATGAATGGCTCTTCCCTTTGGTAGAGTCATGTCTTTAAAATCAGAACCAGTTGGAACTGAGGTCAGGAAGCATTTCTTCACAAAGAGGATCGTGAAGCTGTGGAAATATCTGCCCCAGAAATCTCTAGGGATGGAATCAATAGAGTTATTTAAAAGAGAGACAGACAGGGCTGTTTAAAAGAAAGATAGGCAGATACTTGGGTAGTAGGGGTGTTAATTCAAAGTTCAAAAGTAACTACAACACTGCTTAACAAAAAATAATAACAATAGGGCCTAGATAAAAAGGACCTGTGTTGTAACAGCACCTAAACATAAGAACATAAAGGAACATAGGAACAGGAGTAGGCCATTCAGCCCCTCAAGCCAGTTCCGCCTTTCTATTAGATCATGGCTGATCTGTACCTCAACTCCAATTAACATGTTCAAATGCCTTGTGGCACTTGGCAGATAATTAAGTGGACTGTCAAATCCGGTGACTATTTGTACACCACAAAGGTATCAGCTGCACAGAGAACTGGACTGACTTTGGGTGAAATAATTTTGCCATAGTGTGTAGAGAGACTCCCAAAGCTGCCAATAAGCAAAGCTAGGTTTGGATCGCACTCACTTTTGGCAATCTGTTAATTATCAACAGTGATATTCACCACTGTCCTGCATGTCTTTTCTTCGTGGGATTCTGATTTTGTATTTGCTTGGGCTCAAAGTTTTACCGGGAATAAAAGAAAAAGGCTTTACCTAGTGTTTTTTTTAATAAAAGAAAAGATGGTTTGCTATGGCATGTATGAACATGGATTGATTTTCATTCAAACCTCACTCACTGAAGGGATATGGAAAAACGATCACGATCAGGCAGGCTTATTACAGAAAAATTGTACTTAGCTTTCCGAATACTTGGTTGCATTTATTTGGTTTGTGTTTGTATTGAGCGCTGATTAATTGGTATGGTGACTCAGAATGCAAATTATATTTGCTGAAAACTTGCTTTCAGCCCATCTGCCTTTCTGCCCTCACTCAACTGAATATCACTCCATTCCAGAGTCCTCACTTCGTTCAAGGTCCATCTCAAGACCTACTTTGTATATTCTGTGAAGCACTTTGTATTGCATTGCATTACCTTTGTGTGTTTCAGAGACATCCTTACTCATCCAAACCTTTTCAGGGGTTACAAAAACAATTCATCCTACAGTCATTGTTTGGAAGGATTTCCAGAGAATAAGGAAAGAGTGGTGCAAAGTTTTAAGGGGGAGGACCGAGAATAGATTTTCATCAAATTAAATTGCTTTCACATTCGTGAATTTCATTTCGCTTACACTCCACAGCCCTGACAGATGCTGCCAATTCATTTGATCGTACACCTACTTTTGTAGGCTGGCTCCTGAAACTCACATTGCACACAATCTGCCGTCTGTAACCTGATATTTCTATGTGATGGGAATTGTTTTGTTGTCATAGTATTTTTTTATAAACACCGGGGTTATTGCTGTTTAGAACATATAATAACCATCTCAATCAGATTTTAATTCACTCAGCTAGAGCTTGGATGAGGTGATTGTAAATAAATTAGTAGTGGCTGCCAAAGTAACTGCAAGTAACCAAGAGACAGAAAGCTGCAGCACGTTTCTTCACCATTATAATAAATTTCTCCGATCCCAATATTAAATAGCTCAAAGCACGGTGCGGAGAACAAGTTTCCCGAGTTTCAGATTGACCCAAATTCAGCCCAGTTCTACAATAATAACAACATCTAGTGCCCTCCACGCAGGGTAGCGTCTCAGATCGCTTAACAGTGGCGGAGCCTGACTCCGAGCCTGGTGAGGAGGTGGATGTAAGCATGGTCGAGAAGGAAGGTTTTTAGGCAAGACTTAACAAAGAGGAGCGAGGGGACAAGGCGGAGGCATTGAGGGAGAGTGTTCCAGAGTTTCAGGGAGTTGTGGCTGAAGGTGTGACCTCCAATGGTGGAGCGGAGGGCGCGAAGACAAGCAGGAGGCCGATACCAGTCGAGTGGAGGCGCCGGGTGGTGGATTGGGGAGTGAGGAGGTCAGAGAGGTAGGGAGGTGCCAGGGAGTGAATGGATTTGAACACGAGTGTGAGGAGCTTGAAGTCGATCCATTCGGTGATGGGGAACCTGGCCAGAACTGGTGAGATGTGGGTACGGAGTTTAGTTCGGGTCAGTAAGCAGGCAGCAGTGTTCTGAATGAGCTGGATTTTTTGAACAGTGGAGCTGGGGAAACCAGCGAGGAATGTGTTTGAGTAATCCAGGTGGGAGATAATAAACGCATGCACAAATAATCCTTGCATTTGATATCGCGCCTTATCGCTTTGAGACGTCTCAAAGCACTTCACAGAATATACTGTAAAGTGGATTGACTGTGTATTTTGTGGGAAATAAAAAGAAGCCCATTTTAGCACAGTAGTGCCCCACAAGTAGTCGTGGATTGAATGACTAATTTTTTTTTAAGCGATTCAGGTGCAACCTGAAGAGGGGCAAAGGCGGATGGGTGGAGGCAGAGTTCCATAGCTTCAGATGTAATGTAGTTCAGGAAACCAAAGCTATCCATGCAGCTCCCCCCCACCATCCCCTCTAAAATTCGGATGAGTCTAAGTAGTTCCATGTTTGATCGGTAGTATGATTTCATTTTTTTTTGGTCTACTCCATCTCAAGCAAATATTTCAAGCTCTATTTGTTTTCTAACAATTCGAGAAAAAAAAGCACAGACAGCTCTGTGATGTGTCAAGCAGATTCGGTTTTGAGAACATGCCAAGTCACGGAATAGCTGCAAACACTGGTAAAGATGCTTATTGTAGCGTAATAACATAGCAATAATGTCAAGCAGGAGAAGAATGTCCGTATGTCCATCTAGCCTACCCCTGTGCCATTTCCTGCAAGATTCATGAACAGTATCTACCTCTCAGTCTAACACTGCCGAATGATTATAAATTAGGTTTAATTTTTGTAAGATATCACAATTGATCAGTAAACCTGTTACGCATTGAATCAGAACATATTACAGAAGTCATCTTTTTTTTAAAATCGGGTTGAGCTCTGAGCTTAGGTTTTGTGTAATTCCTCTTTGGGAAAAATAAACAGCGTTATCGCACACACATGGTGTGGGGGGATTAAAATCCAGCTAAAAAAAATGTGGTTTTGCAGCATCCTGGCTGTTCACTTGTGCTGTCATCGTCACCAATGCTAACTGACTGCAGAGGCTGTTATTGGCCAGTCAGCTGGCTTCTGTCCATTAAGCCTACAATATAAAAGCATTCAGTCTGAGCAGAGCTAGATCAGACGCCTCAAGATATCGAAGTATAAGTCGAGACTGTCCTCAAATCACCAGGCGTGAACAGAAACCGATTATCCTTTAGGAAAATCTCATCTGGAAATCAAGATGTGCAGAGGACTAGCTGCATTGCCGGCAACTTGCCTGAAAAGGTAAATCTTTCATCTTTTGTAATCACCTGAGTGTACACTTACTTAGTTACCCCAAACGTGGTTTCAAATCGCATAGCATGCAGCCATTTTGCGATTTTTCTCGCTATGCATTCAAATTTAAATCATATTCATACGAAAGAGACAGTGAAGTATAAACTGTTGAAAGCTCTGTGGTTTTATCTGTGTAAAAAACAGTTTTAAAAAATTGTTGTTTGAAAGAATCTCTGCTCTTCACAGTATAGCAATGTATGATCCTGCTGCAATTCTAGTTGTGATAATATTTGCTTGAATAAATTCTTTCTCATGTTTTAATACACCTTCTTGCAAACAAAATGTTATTGTTAACCAAACTGTTTCTGGTTGAGTATTGACTGATGGCAACACGATTTTGATTAGTATAGACCTGGCATTTAGCCTAAATATCAATATAGATAATATCTTATAGATAATAAGTGCTATGTTAGTTATTGTATGTCAGGCAACGTTGACTTCCATCTGTTATAAAATAATTCAGGACAAACATAGACTTTAGGTTGGAACAGTGAAACATTTGAAGATTGTCAAAGAGCTATCAGTAAATTTAAAGCCTGTATTTTGTAGAAGTGGGGAGGGTATCAGTGAGTTAGCCACTAGACGGGCCTTGAGTTCAAATCCAACACAGAGTGATAGAATGAATGTCTCCTCTGTCTGCCCTGTATCATACAAATTTGGCTAATCTCAACACACTTTGTGATGGGTATAATTTCACACCACAAAACAAAACTCTTACAGTGGCAAAAACCTGGCTCAGTCTCATTCAGCGATGTTGGGGTAGAACAGGAGGGTTGCTGAATCCCCATATTGTGTCCATTTTCCAACACTAATATATCTCACCTGGATGAAAGCGAAATTCGTCCACAAAACCACACCATTAATTGTTTTGTTTATATATATATTTAATAATAATCCTTGCATTTGTTATAGCATCTTATCACGTCTCTGAGACATCTCAAAATGCTTATAGTATATATATGTATACTAACTCTTACAATACTTCCTCACAGTGCAAAAGATATCAAGCATCGCCTTGGGTTTCTGCTCCCTAAGCCTGAAGCACCATGTGATCAGAACTCCACTTACAATAAAAAAGACAAAAACGGGGCAGCTCAGAGGTAAGCACGTTCTTCCCAAGATGATTCTTTCTTTACTATACTTGAAAATATAATGTTGAATTTCTTAGTGCCGACATACTTCTGTCATTGATGATCTCACACACAGGTGGCACTAGAATTGTGTCTCTCAATAGCAGATCGTACTTTTGTCCCACACTGATTGATTTACCAAGGGCTCTCCTAACTCATTCTCGACAGATTCATCCTCGCTTGTTCTCAGGGCTGTATACAAGTGTAATCTGTTGTTGTTGTTATTGAGGAGTGAAGTATTTGCCTTTCACTTCTTCTTCTTGAGGATCTACCCTTTTATCTATCCAGCCACCCCCTCCTACCCCTTTCCTTTTGATTCCCGCCTTTCCCATTGCACACTCAGCCCTGACTCATATCCTCCCCTGCCCATGACCCATTCCTGCCCTCCTCCTGCTCCCACACCACAAGTAGACCAATATTGAAGGAGTACAGTCATCTTCAGAAAGGTCTTTAGCAATCGCTGATCTTTGTCTAACGAACGCCATTCTTTAAAGAGTGGTATTGTGCTGAGTCTGACACTCAAGTTTTCCAAGTCTGGACACAGCCCCAAGTTGTTGTTCTGCGAGAGACTGAGGCCAGTAGAAATCTCCCAAAGTTATGGGATTTCTATCAAATTGCTTCTTGTGTAAAAGGGTGAGAGTTCTTTGTGACAAAAAAATAGACAATATGAAGGCAGCTCCACACACTCAACTATTTAAGAGAAAACACTAAGTTACAAGAAAAACAATACAACTTCTAGTTTAAGCTTGGTCAAAGGATCAAGCCAAATTCCTAAGTTCCAGCCTCACAATGCCCTTCCATCAACTGACCACTAAGGGGTGTATGTATCCTTGAAGTCAAAACGCAAGGAATCAAGTTAATTGATTGAAACAAGTTAACCCCCGTTGATTCCCCATGAATCAGTGATTTGCTGGCTAGCAGATAACACTGAGAGTATTTTCGTGGATTGGTCTGCAATCTCCTGGATTTTAAACAATCCATAGCAAGCGTGTGAATTGAGCAGGTCGATTTGTCATTGTGGAATCCTGTAGCTCAGTGGTTAGATCACTCACTTTGCAAGTGAGAGATCTGAGTTCAATTCCAGGCAGGGCGAAACCTTGGGCAAGTTTCCTTACTCCACACGCCTAATAATAATCCCTCCAAAAAACCAAAAACAATAATTAAATTGGTCATTTTCAATCTACGACTGTTTGTGGGACATTGCTGTGCGCAATTGGCTGCCGCGTTCGCCCACAAATATACAGTCAATTTACTTTACAGTGTGTTCTGTGAAGCGCTTTGGGATATCCTCCCGACGTGAAAAGCGCTATATCAAATGCAAGGATTATTATTGTTATTATTATTATTGAGGAAATGCTTTCAAGTGGTCATTGTCAATATCATCAACAACAACAACTTCTATCTTCTATCTATATTCTATCTATATCGTGCCCTTCAAGTGGGGCAGCGCTTTGAGGGGCTTTATCTTTCACCTACAAAATACACAGTCACAATACTTCACAGTATATTCGATGAGGTGCTTTGAGACACCCCCCCAATGTGAAATGTGCTATATCAAGTGTAAGGATTATTATTATATCATTAGAGTGCTCAAAACCAGGCAATTAAACTGTGTAATATTTAACAAGTGCATCCTTTACTGGTTGCCTGTTCAGTGGAGTCAGTTTTATTTTCTGTTTGTCTTAGTGCAGTGAGGAAGTCTAAAGCAAGCAAGATGACATATTGCTTCACACCAAATTTATGCTGCCCTGACAATGAAAGCTTTTCTGGTTTTTATTGTAACAGCAGGAATCAATGAAGATAAACCTCACTTATTGTGTTATTAATTGGAAAGATTTATTATTTGTGCTGGCAATAAAAACCTCAACTTGCATTTGTATAGGAAAATATCTCAAAGCTTCTCACAGATAGAGCTGTGTCCAGTAACCCGGGGAAAAGCCAATTAAGAAACCATTAACAACAAAAATTAACAGCAATGTCCCTGAATATTCTTCAGCTCTTTCAGTTGCCAGTTTCCAATGAAACAAATAATCACTGGGATCATGATTACCACTCTAATAATAATTCTTGCATTTGATATAGCACCTTATCACGTCGTTCAGACATCTCAAAGCGCTTCACAGAATATAATGTAAAGTGAATTGACTGTATAATGTAAATATTAAGTTGTAATAGTATAATGAATGTGATGAAAAGTGTATATTTTGTAGGCAAAACATTACAAAAATATATTTTAAAGAAAATTGCTGCATTTCCTGCATTCTTTCTCATTTCGTGTAAATGCTGAGAAGGAATAGAGAAACGTGCATTTATTCTGGTTAATACATCATTTAAAACACAAGCTATTATATTTCTGATTTAAATAGCAGAGTGATTGCATTTATTTTATATTTCTTGCCCACCGGCTTGGGGAGACTCAGCTGTGAGAAAAGTCAATTTCTAATGTACCTGTCACTCATTCTCGTTTCTTAGATTGTGTTATGAAGAAATCAAGAAGTGGAGTGAAACTTTGGAGAAGCTATTGTCTAACAGATGTAAGTTATTTTTCTAGACATCCCATTTGTGTTGTTCATCTATTAGGTTCATTATCTAACCATGCATTGGCCAGATTCTATGTGTACCAATACATGGGTATAACATTCATCAAAACACAGAACTGTATTCTGAGACACTCCTGATACATTGCGCGTGTTGTCAATGACCAAAGACAAAAGGGCTTCTTCTTCTGCATCTTCCCATAATGGTCGGGCAAACACTTTTTTTTACTGCAATGAGGTCCCTTTAAAGTAAAAACAAGCCAGTGACCTTTCATGAAATAAAAACAGATTCACATAGATTTATCTGTAAAGAGATGAAGGGTATAGGCTGTCCCATTGTAGGTTAGACTATGTCATGACAAGCAGCAGCTGCCACTTCATGTGAGCCAAAGCACGACTTCCTTCCCTACTGTCTTACGACATGGGACTCAGTGTTTCATTTGGATGTCCCTGTCTGTACAGCAGTCACAAGACGAGCACTGCTGTCCCTGTGTCAGTGCAAGATGTTCCCATGCCCCTGGCCTGATGTATGTATAAGCAGCCAGCCCTGAAGACACACAAGAGGGGTATTTGTTTATGTTGTCAGCTGTCCCGATGAGCAAAAGCCAGATGGGCTGCTGTTACTTAAAATCTGGGTAACCGGTTCCAGTCCTGAGTTCTGCTTCCCATCGTTCTCCTTAAACAAGGTCACTCTCAGGGTCATTTCTGATCACGTCCATAAAAGAGGAAGCCTGTAGAAAGATGCTTCTGCATTTGTACATCATGCTAATTGTTCCAAATACTGCTTGAAGGAATCTGCTTGAGTGTAAACAATTTGGTTTCTTAGACACCGCAACAACAACTTTCGCTTATAACTTTCACATAAGGATGAATGTCTAAGAGCTCTTAATTGAAAGCAAAACTCAGTTTTATTGACAAAGTTTGTTAACCAATTGATATACAATGTTTTAGTTTAAGATATAAACACAGACTGAACAAAAAAATAATCTCACTCACTTTAAAATGTTAACACACTTCCTACAGAATAGAGAATCTTGGCATTGTCAATTCTCAGTGGTGCCTAAGCACTTAACCTGTGGAGTCCTGTAGCTCAGTGGTTAGAGCACTTGCTTTGCAAGCAAGACACCTGAGTTCAATTCCAGGCAGGGCGAAACCTTGGGCAAGTTTCCTTACTCCACACGCCTAATAATAATCCCTCCAAAAAACCCAAAAAATAATAAATTGGTCATTTTCAATCTACGACTGTTTGTGGGACATTGCTGTGCGCAATTGGCTGCCGCGTTCGCCCACAAATATACAGTCAATTCACTTTACAGTATATTCTGTGAAGCGCTTTGGGACGTCCTCCCGACGTGAAAAGCGCTATATCAAATGCAAGGATTATTATTATTATTATTAACCAGTTTTGTTCATTAAACTCGTGCCAGAATACAGTATATTCAGTGAAGCACTTTGAGACGTCTAGACGACGTGAAAAGCGCTTTATCAAATGCAAGGATTATTATTATTATTATTAATAACCTTTCTTATCTTTTTCACCAGATGGTCTGGCAGCTTTCACTGAATTCCTGCAGTCAGAGTACAGCGAGGAGAATATCGAGTTCTGGCTGGCCTGTGAGGATTACAAGAAAGTCAAGTCACCTGTCAAACTGGCCGCCAAAGCAAGGAAGATCTACGATGAATACATCGCAACTCAGTCTCCTAAAGAAGTAAGTCAGTAACAATGGAGTAAGGGACACTATTTCTATCAGAACCAAAGTAACTTTATATTAAAAAAAAGCAATCCTTGAATTTGATAAAGTGCCTTTCACGCTGTTAGGACATCTCAAAGCGCTTCACAGGATTCATTGTAAACTGTAACGAGTGTGTATTTTGTAGGTGAACACAGCAGCTAAATTGTTCCACAAACAGCCATGACGTGATTACACTTTTATCAATTTTAAGTGCGGGAATTAGAATTCCCGCACTTAAAATCTTTTATCTTAAGTTTATTTTTCAGGGCAAACGACAGGGAATGATACGTATTCCCATCTTGAGCACTCTCCCAGGGCCCCTATAGAGCACTTCCAAGGATTGGTGGCGCTCCCTTCACTGAGCCTTAGCCCAAACTCAGGAAGGTGTCTTTCTTAAGATGACTTTTGAATTAAAATATCAAAATGCAACAGAATAATTTGACTGTTTGCAAAAAAGCAATCCTGCTCTGGCATCTTAATACGGCGTAGAATCGGTTTACTAACATGCTCTTTTAAATTGTTTTGCTTCTCAGGTTAACCTGGAATCTCTGACCATGGAAGAGACCAAAAAGAACATCCTAAAGCCAACCCCTTCGTGCTTTAACGAAGCACAAAGCAAGATCTACAGCTTGATGCAGAAAGACTCTTACCCCAGATTCCTCAAATCAAAAATCTACTTGGACTTAATAAGCCAGGCCTCAAGCAATTCACCCCGATCACATGCCTAGTCTACTTTGAGAACACAAAAATATATTGGTTGCTGTGAAAGTCTCACTGGTCTAATGGCTAGCTAACTAATGAAAGTGTCTAAATTATTGTCATCGATGGTGGTTATTGCAAAGAAACTTAACTTATACGAAAAGAAAGCCGCACTTTAATCTCCTGAGAAAAAAGGCAGGATTTTTTGGTACCATTTACCAAAATATAATGATGGAATATATTTAAAAATGTTGATTTACAAATGCTTTTTTTTTCGCGTTGCACATGTTCACTTCACTGCATTTAATGGAGATTACCTCTTATTGAAGTCAAGGTACACATTTATGTATTAAAGGATATAAAGTAAATTCAGCACTTGAATGGTTACATCATAATGTTTATCTTATTATAAGCAAGATTTTATTCAATTTGTTTATCTATATCTAAATACCAGGTTTCGAAGACAACGTTCTTAGGAAGACTTTGATTCTATCAGCTCTTTATCTGCCAAGATTTGGTGATATCTTATGTAAACACACAGAAAAGTAATGTTCCAAGCTGTGATGGCTCACATCTAGAGAGAAATATTTTGTCCACAAATATTTATGGTTAATAAGCCAAAAATGTTAGCGTACCATTTATCTTGTGGTACAATAAAATGCATATTGCTCTACTGCTCAGTCCAGCAGAAAACATTTTGGGTTTGAAAATTACTCCTGAGTATTTCAATGTGAGATTTGTAACTACAAATGCAACATGCCACAAAGCTTCAGCATAAAATGTCCTTGACGCATATTGTAGTAGCAGTTAACCATTCTGTAATTTTGCGTGGGATTCGTTTAGAAACTTGGATTTCATTATTTTAAAACTATGTGTTGTAAGACAATGGTAAACTGATCACAAATGGTTCTTGCAATAAGAGTCCACAATGGGGAAGATTTCACACAGTTGGTGGAAGGAGCAGACTTGTTGCTCATTCTACAAGCATGCAATCTGCTCTTAAGTTCTCGGCCTACAGATATAAAAAAGGCAAAACAATTGTTGACCACATGTTCATCATGGAATGTATTGTATCTCAAGATTAACATTAAGGCTCGTTATTTTTATATGCGTAAGATATAGTTTTATTTACTTTGAGTTTGAGTTACTCGGACCGGCTGCAGGGTAGAGTGCAATGTATCTCAACTAACTCGCACAGGGGCAATATTTTATGTACAGGTACATACCTCAAGAATTGTAAGGGATGATGTCGTATGAATGCCATTTGCTTGCCTCACTTTTTTTTAAAATCATGGTTACATGAATGTCTTGATTTTGTTTTGAATACTGAAATAAAATTATGTTTCATATTAACGCATCGGTTTGTATGGCCTTTTTTTTTAAATGATGCTGGCGGTTAAGACAGCATGGCTGTTTGTGGGACACTGCTGTGCGCAACTGGCTGGCACATTTCACCCACAAAATATATATACTGTAGATATACACTTTACAGTATATTGAGACTCTTCAATGATGTGAAAAGGCTCTATAGCAAATGCAAGGATTATTTATTATTATGAGTGTTTATATTTTTGTGTGAAGCTGTTCAGAGTCACACATAGTGGGAATGCAATCCTCCCAGCATGATAGGATATTCCTAACTCTAATAATCATGATAATTCATGCATCGGGAGGCCACCTTAAAATGCTTCACATGATTTCCTGTAAAGTACAGTGAATGTATTTCGTAGGCGACGCAGCACTCAATTTGAACATAGCGATGTCCCACAAATGAAGCCATGAAGTGAACGACCAATCTTATCAGCGAGCTGTATGAGCTGCAGAGCAGCTGTTCCCGAAACTACTCTGAAACACAAGGTCAATGAAATTGCAACAAACAGGGTTGAAAATACAGGATTCACAAAAGATCTGTAACCATGGTGGAATCGTGCCTGTAACCGCCAACCCGGCATTGTGACCTGAAGTGCGACTTGCCCGTTTGCCATCAGGTGTCTGTGTCAGTCTGACTCAGTTGATAGCACTCTCACCACTGGGACAGAAGGCTTTTGTGTTCAAACCTCATGTCAGGACTAACCTATCGTACAGTGCAGCACTGGAGCAAAGGCACTTTGTCAAAGTGCCGTCTTTACCATAAATTCACAGTTAACGATAACCTTTTTGCAGGATCTTCCTTCACAATTGACTACCTGGCTTATCTATAAATACTATCCCTACACTTGAGTCATTTTGGTATGATGAGTATGATCAGGCTATAAAAATACACAATGAAGAAAGATTAAGAGAATGGGTTTAGAGTAGATAGCTCCTGTGAGAGAACAGTGCCATAAACATTTGTATGATTCTATATTTTGTAAAGTTTCTTCTTCTTTCTCAATACAGCAGCTATTCGTTGCCGACTGAATTTAGTCACATTACTGACCTGGTAATCCTTCATGTCAAGATGTTATTTCCTTGTGGTGAGCTTCATCAGGTTTTATCTATCCCGACCCTCCTTGCATTTGGTATAGTGCCTTTCACATCGGGAAAGTGCTTCACATGGTTTACTGTGAAGTGGAGTGACTGTGTATATATATAATAGCCTTACTTTTATAAACTATTGAAGACATTAGCACGTCCCAATTGAGATTATCTCACATTTTAAATTGGTTGCACTGATTAACCGCTTTTAAAATAAATAAAAATGTAATTAATGAAAAGAATAATTTGAATACATATCCCCTCCCTCTCACTGATCAGTTGCCACTTTCTCTAGCTCCTCCCTTTCCTGACAACACCTTTCTGGATTTGGAGAAAATCCCTTTTAGTTTATAGCCAAACAATACAGCAATATGGTGGTTCATTCCTGAAATGTTACTCCTGAAATGCAATTCTTACCAACAGGTATAGGTAAGTAAACTCAAAATCTTGTATTTCTTTTGCTTCTTCCCTCACATGTTCTCTTTCAAACCAATTTTTCCCATCAAATTGAAGAGACAGAACAAATATGAGTCACACCAGTTTTCTCCCCCCCCCAACCCATGCACCAAAGTGATCAAAGGATAAAGAGAAAATTCAATGTTACAGATTTGGATAGGTCTCCATGTTCTTAGTGAATGTCACCCCATCAATGTTATTACAAAAAATATTTCCACAGTCCTCGCCAACTCAGGACATACTGTAAAGTGCAGTGACTGTGTATTTTATAAGCACAGCCGATTTCACACACAGCACAATGTCCTACAAACAACCGTGAGGTGAAAAACTTATTTTATTTGAGGAACTGTAAAACCAAATCCTACATTTATAAACCAGCATCCTCTTCCTGTCTTTACACAGCCATGCTGTCCAGTCTGTACCACACTTGGAGTCTGAATCTCCGACCTGAAAATTCTCAAAAGGATTTATTCCTACGCATTTCATATATAATAATAATATATTTGTTTGTTCCTATAATATGTATATTTATATGAATGAGGTACCCCTTGGTACAACTGTTGTCTTCTTCCTAAATTTATTATGACCTCATATCCTTGTGTTTTGTTTTCTTTTATGTTTACATCATGTATTTCTTTCGTACAAATAGTCCTCATCTGTGTGGTTTCTCAACATGAAAAGTAGGACAAAGTTTACAAAAACAGTGGGACAGATCCAAGTCGTTAAAGCTTGACTAAACTTGAAAAGCTAAAGCCGTCTATCTGTTTGAAGCCTACATCAAATAAAACCCCAATTTCTTTATCTTTCAACATTTATTCCTTACTTATTTTTTATTTGTAACGTTAGAATCTTTTAAAGGAGCTCATTTGTAAGGTTGGTGCCAGGATAGATCCGGAATACTTCAATCTCATACTGGCTCGATTGTGAAACAAGAGGCGGAAAGTTGTTAGGAAGTAACACTGAACTTGTACAGAATAATGCATTGGTCCCACTTTGAGAATGAGATTGAGTGCTGGCCTCTGCAGTACTCTGATGATATCTCAATGAGTTCTCTTGCATTTGATGTAGCGCTGTGTCTCATTGAGAGGTCTCAATTTTGCTTCACAGAATTTTCACACAAGTGCAGTAATCGAGTACTTTGTAAGTGAATGTGGCGTCCAATTTGTACACAGTCACTACACTTTACAGTAAATCCTATGAAGGACTTTGAGAACTCCTCCTGATGTGAAAGGGGCTATGTCAAATGCAAGGATCATTATCAGAACTAGATTGAAATTGATTGTGCGAATGAAAGATAGAGTTGTGTGTGTGTGATTATTTCTTGGGTCAAATGGTCATTTCGAAGCAGTGCTGAAAACATTCCTATGTGAACATTTATTATAATAATAATAATAATAATAATAATCCTTGCATTTGATATAGCGCTTTTCACGTCAGGAGGACGTCCCAAAGCGCTTCACAGAACACACTGTAAAGTGAATTGACTGTATATTTGTGGGCGAACGCGGCAGCCAATTGCGCACAGCAATGTCCCACAAACAGTCGTAGATTGAAAATGACCAATTTAATTATTGTTTTTGGTTTTTTGGAGGGATTATTATTAGGCGTGTGGAGTAAGGAAACTTGCCCAAGGTTTCGCCCTCTGCCTGGAATTGAACTCAGGTCTCTCGCTTGCAAAGCGAGTGCTCTAACCACTGAGCTACAGGACTCCACATTATGAGATGCTGACAAGAACCCTTCTCATAGCAGATTGGGGCTCTTTGTCTGCAGACGCAGCCTCTAATAACATATGTCTCATGCTTCAAATGCACTTGGGCCTCTTTCCTAGAATACATTGGAACTGTTGCATTGCAGCAGGCAGGCTATGGTGTGTGATGACCTGTTTTAGTCCCACAGGGCCATCTGCACAGTGCTGCATGTGCCTGCACTCAGATGGCTTTCATTTGAATGGCAAGCTGATACTGTGCCACACAGCAGGGCAGGTTTGTTGGCTTGACTGCTGCACCAGATGTTCCCATACTTTAGTTCTCTCTATAATTGCTGGTTTTCAGTATTTTAAAAACAAGGCAGAAAAAGCCTATTTAATAATATGTAGAAAGATTTCCTATTTCCAAGTGCTTCTCTAATTTCTCTGTGTGGTTTAATCACTTTACTGCCCATTGGGCAGAGGATGCTGT